TTTGATCATTTTTTATTTCTTTTTTATAATGAAATTATTGTAAAATATATTTTCATTGTAGAATGTGCTAAATAAATTATAAATCCTTATAATGCAAATTAGAATAAATCTTGATTATAGAAGTGATTGAGTTTTTGGCACTTGCTAAATCAAAGTTGTTTAATTAATATACAAAATTAAATTCTAAATAAAATATGTGTATACATTATTTAATTTTAAATTTATTTACATATTTTTGATTGATTACATAAATAAATAATACTAACGTGCATTAAATGTTTTTCATTACATAAAATAAAAATAAGAAGAACACGTATAACTTTTATATGTAATAGTGACATTATTTGACAACAAGTTTATAATAAAAATAAGAAGTATTATATGATCAACAAGAATAAATAAAACTGTTATTTTTTCTTATATCAAAGAATAGATATATATATATATATACTAAAATCAAATACTACCTCTTGTTCATTATAAATGTCGTTTTGACTTTTGTGATTCATCCATTTTATTATGTATCTGGACATTAATATGTCTAGATACATAACAAAATGGATGAATCAAAAAAGTCAAAACGACATTTATAATGAATAGGAGGGAGTATATATTAGTATAAATATGTTAGTGATATAATATAATTATTATTTTACGAGTTAGCTCTAACGTGCTCATATTTAATATTTTAGCTAAAAAAACAACGCTGATTAAAAGATGTGGAAAATAGATTATAATCTTATTGTTTTTTAGACTTAAAGTTGATTAAAAGAAGCAAAAATTAGAAATTAGATAATAATCATATTGCTTTTTATACTTACCCATATTTCTTTGTAGACTTAAACGAACAATGTCTGTGAAAATAACTCATTTAATATCTTTGTCACGTGTATCGTACGGGGCACGTACTAGTATAAAGAAATGATGTATGCCCTGAATTACATTACATTCTCAATTACTCTGTACATTTTACATGTTGCACTTCACTTTCTACAAGTGTTAATTTAAACTTTAGAGGTTCATCACCGAAAAATTCCTCCGGTGTGATAGTTTTGTAGGTCAAAAGTAGATCTGTCAAAACGGGCTGGTGGAACGGGCCAACCCTTAGCCTGCCATTTGGCGGGGCGAGGCAAGCTGGCTCGCCATCCTGGCGGGCCTATGAATTGCAGGCCCAACCCGTCCCGCCACGGGTTGCTTTTTTTTTTTTTTCCTAAAACCTGCTTGTCTTGTTTGAAAACTTGATTAAATTAAAATAAAATTTTATTTGAATAGTTCCATTAAGCATAATAGCTTGTTTGCTGATCTGTTTAGACAGTGAAAAATCAAACTCACTGCCATCATTACTTCCTTTTATATATCAGCATCTATACTTATATTATAAGCAAACCTATTTACTAAATTCAGTATGTTGAATAGTCAACATTAATTAATGACTTTCTAATCTTATCAAGTGCATTAATTGCGTGTAGTTTGGTCAAAAAAAAAATCTGATAAAATCAAGAAATAAAACGTGTATAGTAAGATTTGATCACAAATCTTTTCTTATCTTTTTTCCAATTTGGACGTGTATTTTTTTTATTTCAGATTTTTTTGTTTCTAAAATTCCATATTATTAAGGAAATAAATCACGCATTTGATCACAAATCTTTTCTTATCTTTTTTTCCAATTTGGACGTGTATTTTTTTTCTCAGATTTTTTTTGTTTCCGAAATTCCATATTATTAAGGAAATAAATCACGCTCTCTCTTTCACAAATAAAAACAAATTTACAACTAATATAACTAACGCATCTCATCGTATTATGCAAGGAATAATTTATAATTATATTTATTTATAAAAGATGATAAGAATAGTTCAACATACTTATCTCACTGGCAAATGAAAATATATTCCACGTTTTAAAATGTTATACTCCTCAAATAAATAGTTTTCGTGCCTCGCACAGGTCACGTACTATATATCCCGTATATTTTTTTATTCATTTATATAATTACAAAGCTAGATATATGACCTTAAAATTGTACACCCCATGCATCGCACGGGATCTGTACTAGTTGACTTATTATTTGGTTCATAAAGAATCATGATTTGCATGTGCAGGCAGGGGCGAATCTAGCGAACAGAATGAGTGGCCTAGTCGTTGTTAGAAAAAAATTATTATATTATAATAAAAGTATAGATACAAAAATACATATTTATAATATACTTATGAGTTTTCTCATATAACTCAACATCGTCCTATAATAACATTGTTGAATTTTTTTATGGCACTTTCTTTTGGCCAAAGTCTAACAATATTAAAATTCACAACAAGTATATTTGGAATTAAAGTATCTCATTTCAAAATATTTTAACGTAAACTTTTTTTTTCAAGGCGTTTTACAAAAATATTTCTCCATAATTTATGTTAAAAAAATAAATATAATGTATAAAAAAAGCTATAGTGGATAAAATAGTTTACTAATATATAAAACTCGTAACATGCTACAATTTAAGTTATTAACCACACACAAATTATAGTTAGATGGTATTTTTTTTATAATTTAGAAGAAACAATCAGTTAACTAGAAAAGTACTAAAAAATACAGTATATGTGTAATTTTTTCTTCAAGTTTAGTTAAAAAAAGGATAAAATTACTTTCATCAAAATTAGTAAGAAAATATTTCTTTTCTCCACTACTTCTCTCTTTACATTTCTTTTCCTTTTTTTTTTCTTTGTGTAAGTATTGTCATTAATTTTTATTTTATTTTTTATTAATGGGGTTTGTAGGGTGGATCTCAAAAGATATGAAAGATCTCCCTCCAAGCCGTACATACGACTTTCATCGTATAAACTATTTTTTGAGTTATAGTTGTACCTAATTCATAATATTTTTTATTTTTATTTTTTCAGTGTGGGCCTTGGCCCACACTGGTCCATATGTAGCTCCTCCCCTGTGTGCAGGAGATGGAACTGGATTGCAAAACCGCAGCTTAAATGTTGAAGTCCAATGTATTACATATTAAACATGGGTATGCAAAATGCAGTAAAAAGCTAAGTAAGTAAACAAGCTATTGATTTTTTTTGTTGTTTTTCTGTTTTGATGTTTTTTTATGTATCTTCGACATTGATGTAGACTATTGACTTTTTAATTCTCCCTGAACTATTATATTCACAGGTCGGGGGTGTAGCCTCAATCCCCCATCTCACACTGGGATGTTTTTATATATATAAAAAAAAGTAAACAAGCTATTGCGCAGCCTATAAATGTTCAAGTCCAAACCTTTCTTTTTGTTTTTTTAAAAAATAAGTGACCGGCTGGCCTGTTTAGGCCTGCTCACATGGGCCTAGAAAAACAGGCCCAATCCGCCCCCTAGTGCGGGGTGGGCTGGCTCGTCGGCCCAAATCCGTTTCGATAGCTCTAGTCAAAAAGTATTCAACCGGTGATCGAGCTCGAGATCTAGCACAGTATCTTCAGCAAGATAAAATGGCAAAACTATAAACTACCCTATTCAATTATTCTTGTAAAAAAATTTCAATCTAGTTTCACTGTGCATATTTCTCAATCTTCCCCAAACAAAAAGATTCAAATAAATAAAACTAACTCAGATAATGAAAGTTATTATTACTTTGAATATTTCCATGCAATTTTTTTTACCATGACATTTTAATATTATTACTTTGAAAATTGTATTTCAACCTTCAATATATTTGACATAATTTATGTAAATGTACTTCTTTTGTTTAATTAATGAAAAATCGTAATGCAAAAAAATTGAATAGACCATAAATATAAGAAAGAAAATATATAATTCAAACTCGCATTAAGTTATAAATTATGTATTGCGTGCATCGGGAGTACTCCCCAAGGATGATAACAAATAGCATAAGAATGGTTTTTTTTTTTT